GAGTACTATGACTATGAGAGCGTAGTTATGCTAGGTGTGCGTAGTAATCACGGACCGAGACGGGTGGTCCGGTAAAGTACAATCCAGCCCTCACCTGTTCTTGTCGTATGTGCTAAAAACCGTCTGATATGTCTCAGCAGCAGTACTGAAGTTGTCATTCATATACTTGTCAAACGGATTCATTCTCAGGGACGTCGGGGTCAGCAAAGTTATAAATTTGTTACGAGTCACAAGAATTCTGCAACAGTTATAGATAGCCAGTAAGATCAACAGATATATATGCACTCGGACTTTTCGCTCCTCACGACAGCTCACAGCGAGATGGAACTACTCATTGCTATGTGTGCAATATAATTGGGATCCAGTTTATTTACTCTGGAGATAATCCGTGACGCGAGAGTTGTCCCGTTTGACTTGCCAGACAGGGAGGTTTCATTTGGCTCTGAAGCTTTCTGTTTTGTGAAGTTCCATTATAAACTTTTCATTAATTCTTTACAAAATACTCTGGCAAAAAATAATTTTCATTCTAATTTTGTTTTACTTACAGAAAAAGGAAGCCCAACTAAAAATTGAAAAAAAATCTTTGAATATAATACTGACAATACATGATCATAATTTCGTAACAGGAGAATAAACTCCCTGGTTTGTTGTATTGTAGAAGGTCCTTGCTCTCTGGCAATCGGCGAAAATAGCTGGGTTTTTTTGTTGAAGAGCGAGCTGCCTATAGGCAGGGTAAAGCAGAAAAATGATTGTGGCTATATTCACTGAAAAGGGCAATATAGCGTTAGTGCTATTGCTACAGAAATGAGAAATTCCCGATCTCTAGAAATAGGTTTGTGAGTAAAATGGGAAATCCCAGAAATTATACTACCGTTACTCCAGGGAAGCCGTCGAGATTGCCAAACTCGTCACAAAGTAAATTACAGCGAGTGTTATTCGAAATTGACTATTTATTGATTTAATATTGTGGCATTACACCAATCCAAGGGTCATTTCGTAACACATATCAAAGGTAAATAATTAATTAAGATATGAAGCCTTTATCGTTGAGTCCTAGACTAATAAAATTCATTAATATTTGATCTAGATCTAGTTTAATTCAATCTTTCCTCAGCTTCAAGCATAATAATTCAGAATTTGTAAAAATAGCGACTTTCGTGTGCGAACTTTTTGTCCAAGTTCTGTTTTCTTCTTGTAAACCTTTTCTTAGTGGGATACTTTCAGGCGGGGGCTCTCGTGGTCTGGAGGTTACGGTGTTCACTTCTCATTTTTTTTCCAAAATGTTCTCCTGTCACCGTCTTTACTGCATCATGTTGTCGTCTGCT